ATATCACATGAGATGTTAAGTTGTATGATAAATTTTTATATGTATATATGTGTATTTTGTGGGCCCACTGAATGAAAATGACATGGTAGGAATTGCGCCTTATTTCGAGTTTCAGGGCATCACACTATTAAATTTGAATATACTAGTTTAGGTACAAAATTCTACCATTTATATCTAAAAAATGAGTTATATGTCGTATAATAGAAATAAAATAATATTATATGTACAAATATTTTTTTTATAACATGGATGTGGTAGTATAAGTGAACAATGACAGTATAAATGAATAATTTACATTAAATAAATTACAATAATATTTTGTTAGCTCCTATACAATTTGATTTTTTCCTAAACTTCTATATTATTTTTAGTTCATTTAATGTTTTTCTTTTAAATATGTACCCTATCAACTTTATATTCTAATTGTCATTAGGGGGCCATTAATGATTGAGCGCTAACAATGTGTCAAGAATATAACACATAATCAATGAATTAGACATGGTGTAACAACTCCATCAAAAAGTTCAAAATTTCATCTGTATCCCCTTATTTTTTTTCTTTTCTTTTTATCATATTTTCTCAGAGTCTTTGTAATATTTTGTTTTTTACATGTAAGCCCTTATTCCAATAAATGAATTTCAGTATGAAATAACTATTATTTACAAGATAAGACATCAATCATTAATGAAATACTTCTTCTTTCATCTCCGATTTGTGAAAGTCAAGAGAGAGACTCTCTTCGGTCTTGTAATTTAGATCCATTGGATTTAATTCCCAATTATGATTCCTTCATACTCGTATAACTTGGCTTTTTTTTATTTAGTTTTTGGAACCAAAGAAGAAATATATGATGATGCATCATTGCTCTTATTGTAATAATAATTAACACAAATCTTAGACTTATCCCAACTACAGGGTCAAGCTTTTTGGGTTTATGATGACTGACAAGTTGATCCGGAAGAGCGACAGTACAAGCAATCTTAACTATTATGCCAGATTGGCTTTTAATGCGTATAATAAAAATTAGTTGAACAATGTTGGCTCGCCTAGAAAGGGTTCGAATCACGACGATAGCTACACTTTCAAGGATTGTGTTCCTGGCTCTTTGTTGAGTTTTGAGCGAAAGAAATGTGTTCCGTAGATAAAAAAAAAGAGCATAAAATGTTTCTATTTGGGTTACAGAAGCTTGATAAAGGTACTTGGCACGGAACCTCAACTACTACGTTATATTAAGAACACACACCTAAGTGGGCAAGCAGCTCATAAATATTTCATTCAGTAAACCAACATATTTAAGATAAAAAGATGTTCAAGCTTCTTTGACATTGTAACTGATGTATTAATTGACACTACAATGGTCTCACATGACTTAATTCTCAGTAATGCCCTAGTAGAAGCACAAAGCAGCAATCCATTACCTCATTCTCTCAACTTGGATGAAGAAGGTGAATTAATAGATTTTATAAACTCGAATGATCAAGAACTTGTTCTTCCAAAATAAACTAACTCAAAGTCCTGCTATTATATAATATATCATGCTTATTTCTCACTGTACTTTTTATTTTAATTGGGATATAATATAAAACGAATAAAAAAAATGCATGAAGTTTTAAGGCCAATTATAGTACATTCAAAAAGCTCAATCAATGTTACTGAATTGGTTAGCATGTCAAACCTTAGCTGGGGTGAATCAATTGGTGATGTTGAGCCATCTTCTCATTCGTTAAAGCTTTTAGAAGATCCTTCCTCTAGGCAATCTACATTCCATGCCAATCAAGCTTGGGTAGTTTTAAGCATGAATTCGAGCAGCAATATGAATATACTCATACACCATATAAATATAAGTTCGGATATTTTGGCCATTTTGGAAAAAATATATGTTAAAGACATTAAAACGTATATCCGTATATTCAAAACTTCTTAAAAGTTTCAACTGAATAATAAAAAAGAGACACCAAATAACAGTATTGATCTTAGAAAGAATAGAAGTTAACAGAAAAATAAGAAAAAAAAATATGTACTAGTCTTGTAAAAAACTTCCACACACATAATAAATTATATATTAATTATACATATAGAAAATAATAGAAATATTAATTTTTTATGTTGACCCTATTAGGAAGGTTGATACTCTCCCTCAATTTCTGAGAAAAAAAAAGAAAATATAATAAATTCAGCTAGTTACACCAAGCACAATTTGAATAAAAAGATATGAACGTACTAATAAATTTTAAAGATTCAGATTTTGTAAATTTTATATATTTTAAATTGATATATTTTTTCTTAAATAAAATTTTTATTTGGGCAGTACGATTACACAACCAATATATCGTAATTAAATATATTTTCATTTCTTCTTCTTATTCTCTTTAATTTTTTTTTTTTTAAAATGCCTTATCAAACACCTTTATATAATAAGGTATAAAAAATATATTTTTATAGCAACCAACAGATACATGCAGAACTTTGAGTTGAATTTAAGTGAAATATTATTTGTTCGAAAGTTCTTTATGAATAAAATCTTTATATATTAACATAATATATTAAGTAAAATATGAAATCTTTATATATATATCGATAATAACATAATATATTAACAAATACAATCCAATTCCCAACAATTTCCTATGTTTCTTTCTTTTTTTTTTTTTACCTCACCAAATAGCACTATGGTTAATCTGCATTATGTGTGTAATTCTAAAACAAAGCATCTAATTTGACCCTAAAAAAGAAAAACCAAAAGTTAGTATCTTACAACCCTTTTGTCGCATCTTGCTATATGTATTGGCCAAAATCATATAACATATATATGTACATGTATCGTAATTAATGAATATTTAGGAACAGTGGAACATGTTGTTGGAGAACATTAGGTGTATATGTAATCCATGCATCGAATTTGAAAGACTAATACATGATGAGGGGAAGGTGGAATTAGGTAACAGGCCGAAGAGCAAACCCTAATATTAAGTGGATGGAGACCATGTGTAAGCTAGGCCTAATCACGGTGGAGCAACAATCGACCTTCTGTTTCCTCTACATAGAAGGGTCATTTTAATTGCTTGTGTTTATTTAGAATTCCAGATGTGTATATATATATCTGTATCTATATGTATATATATAGGATTATTTTATGAGGTTCATATGAACCCACACCTCCCTTTCTAACTCAGTCGCTTTCTTTTCTTTTCCTATTTGCCATTTGTTGTCAGGCGTTGTATGCTTCATTTTAAATATACAAACATTATGTCTTATCTTAATTAAAGTTACATTTAAATGTCTTTGATTAGTGTTGAGAGTCAAGATGATTTGTAATTCAAAACTTTTACCACTAAATCTTTAGGCTATGTTTTGGATGATGAATTTCACTTTTCCAATTCATTAAAAACATATATATATATATATGTATATATATTTTTAAGTAAAAAATTTATTTAGAAAAATAATAAGTTATCCACATTTTAAACCAACAGCTAATAAAATAAATAAATTTATCAGAAAAAAAATTTATATCTTTACTCACAAAAATAGAGGAAGTGATGCCTCTCATTCTCATTTCCTTATATGTGTTTTTTATAAATAATTTGTTTAAAGTAAAAGAATAGTATGTATCAGTATTTATAAACACAAAAAATTTAAATGCATTTTGAATAAATATATGAGATTCAAGTAGTCGAACGATATATTTAAATAAATTATGAGTTACCCAATTAAAGATTTGTAAAGATCCAAGAAGAGTGAAGAAAAGAGTAAATATTTGCTTCAAAATCAACAAGTGATTCATTACTAAATTCAAGATTATAAGTAAAAAGTAAGCACATGGAAGAAAAACAGTTCTCCGTCTATATTAGATCAATTGTCTTATAACAAAGTGTGTTGTATCATACTCGAGGATCATTTTCTTGAAAGGTAAAAGACAACCAACAGTTGCACAATCCTCACCCAAGAATTGAGTTCCATGGAATGTCATCATATACATATAGTGAAATAGTTTGTATATGAACTGTTCATGATTTTGATGTTTCACTCACCGCTCCACCAACACTCCTACAAGACATATTGTTGCTAACCCAACCTTCCATCACCAAACCATACACATTGAATTGTTTACCATGTGATTTGTGAGAAACGTATCCAAGTTAGCATCATACATGTCTTTCCTAACTCTTAAAATGAATCGGTCGCAAGCATATTGAGAAAAAGGGTAGAGCTGCAAGTAGTTTCTCTACTTAACTTGGGCATTACATAGACCATCTTGAAGGGCAGTAATAATGAATAGAATCAACTGTGACTATGGTCTTTGTATGGTTATAGATAATTAACTTCTAGCTAATTAGCTAATACTTGTGTAACTCATACTAATGAATCAATAAACATCATCAGATTCTCCTCAATAGTTGAAAGCATATATGCATGCATCTTCCAATCGAAGTTTGAATTATATCTATAATTGAGTCAAAGAACAAGTACTTCCAAGCCATGCAGTAGTAAATTCTGATACAACGACAAGGAATGGACTTCCTCAGCAACTACACATGGGTAGGACCTCGATTTCCTGTTGCTCTTAGATTTCTTTTTCTAACTATGAATTTCATAACATCAAATCCTACATATATGAATGTCTGTAATTATGAACAGATATATTATATAAATATATTTTTCTTTCTTCTCATAACATAAAAATATATTCAGCATTTATGGAGTCATGATTATCTTTGTTAAAATATTGTATAGAAATTAAATTAAATATTTCAGGATATCGTAGTAATCAGAGGTTTTGGATTATCAATTTTAACTGCTTGTACGTGATACAATGTGTTAAAAAATATTTTAGAATAATTTGATGGTTAAACATAGGCAATTATTTTGTAATTAATCCCAATTCACTATATGAATTACATATAATTTACCCAATTCACCATGTGAATTACATATATAAGGTGTAAAGAAGAACAAGGAAATACATAATGTGAACTGTTATCAAAATTATAGTGCGATAGATCATATGTATCTCTCTCTGAGCTGAATATCTAAGAAAATATACATATGCATGATGCATGTGTTCCCTCTACGTAGCTCTATAATGCTCTTTCTCTTGGTTGGGTCTCCCCAAAGCTGATGAAAAAGTGAGGAAGAGGAGACAAGGTCGGCCCCTCTCATATCTTCAATTTGGTTTACAAGATTCATCACCCAAACACCTGCATGTTCTATTTAAGAACGTTTTTCTTTTTCATATAAGACCTGCATTTATTGCTCTCATCTGCTTCTTCCACTACAAATACTCCCACTTCAAACCATCAAAACACCCACCAAAATCTATTAGCTCACCTTCTCTCAATTCAAAAGCCCATATATATATATTGCTACTCTCTGTATCTATCTATACACTCTCATCATGTCTTATCTCATTCTTCTCCTTCTCTTGTGCCTTTCTCTTCATGCATGCAACGCTCGCCCTCTATGCCTTTTTTATTGCAAGGGGAAAGTACAATCTAATCTTTTGACAGAGGTTAATGCCAAAATCTTGCGTATACTTTTGTTGTTATTAAAAAACATATGTAGATTGTTTCTATGTACGTAAGAAAAATAGTTGATGTGCTGATTATGTATGTATATATACACATAAACCAAGACTCTGTAATGTGGTATACTGCAGGGAGTCGATAGTGCAAATTACTTCCGTAAGGTTTGGAATCCATCAGAGCTCCAGAAAAAAGGACCGGTGGACATAAAAAACAATGGAGGAGAAGTTGATCATCGGGATAGAGCAAGCACTCTGCAACAAAATTTCATGAAAGAAAAAGTAGTAGGTGGGAAAAAATAGACTCCCTTATTTATTTATTTATCTATTTTTTTTTTATAAAAAAAACAGACTTTTAGAGATCCTCATGCACATGCTACCAAGTTAAAAAAATCATGAGTCTTAACTCTAGCTAATATATACATATGTGCTTTAAGTTCAATTCCGATGTGCGATAATGATCTCTTTCCTATATATATATATATGTGTGTGTGTGTGTATATATATGCATACCCATTTACATAATATTTTAGACATTTAACGGAAATATAAAAAAAAAAACACACAAAAGAAAAGACTAGTAATACACATAATTTAAGCTTTACATCTCCAGAAATAAATCATGGTAGATATCTGGCTATACTTTTATTTTTACCACTATATCTCTATACGTATATATCTCTTATAATATACCTAGGGCACCGCTCCCAAAATAACTTTCTTTTCGAGATTTTCACGTTACCGTCTGTGATCCTTATTCCTGACAATCAATTTGGTGGGTATATATTCATGCAGGGTACAAGATCATCATCTCTTCGCATAATGATCTGCAACAGAATCAGGATAAAGTAAAGGTAATAATAAATAAAGTGGAACTCCATGCTCGCACTTGGTTAAATACCGAACCCTGCGGCTCATCTTCTTCAAAACATGCCTAGTCTATATAAATATGCATGTGTGTGTGTAAAGGCCGCCTTGATGGTTCATTGGCATATGCACTGACATGAAATCAATTGAAGACAACAAGAAATAATGATGTTTTATAAATCTTATATACATGTATAAGAGTTCAAATGGACTGGAAGTGTAATAAGCAGATTGTGTTGGTCTTTGGTGTAGGGCTTAATAATAAAGAGACAAGCAAGGTCGATGCTTGGAAATCGTTCAGGGGATGATACTGAGGAAGCTGTAGATTCTAAGGAGAACGATACTGTTGAAGACATTGTTGTTATGGATTATGCACAACCCCACAGGAAACCACCTATCCATAATGAAAAACACTAGATACATATTATCTATATACACAGTCAAACTTGTCTTACAATGGGTTTGTAATAATTTACGAGAACAGTATCTGTTTTTTTGTCTGTTTTTCTTAATATTACTAGCTAGAAAAGAAATATTATCTCAAGGGCACTTGTGTCTTCTTATTTTTCCAGTAATCTGCTTAAATTTCTATCCAGGAATTGATCTCCAACTTGAGCATTTGCCAAGGCTTTGACGAGTTATGTATGTGCGTGTGAGTGTATGCATATTGTCGCACAGTATTGTGCTTTTGATCTTCAAAAGGAGATTTCCTAATTACGGAGATAATTAAGATGCATTTGAGAAAGAAAGAAGAAAGATTTGGTGTATTAGAAGACAGCTTGTAAGAATTTGATGAATTGATGCATGATGGGTTTACGTTGTCTGTTTGTTTAAATTTTCAGGCAGTATTAATGAGATTGTGAATAAGAGGAGACAGACGACATGGGCGTGTTGCCATAGTTGTCAAAGTGTTGGTTGGTGTGTTCTTGGACAATAAATGAAAGAGACAGTACCTGTAATCTGTTTGTTATACAATTTCTCCAATTTTCACTTTTTGATCATCACATCACACCCATATTCCACTATAAACTGGGGGATTCTTTGCAGCATAGTCCAAAACATGAAACAATAAATGAAAAAAAAAATGTCCTGGGAAAGAGAAAACAAAAGAAGTTATCTATCATTTTAGTAATTGCGTAATAACGCTTTAACATTATGTAAAAGTCAAATAACTGCATATAATATAATGTTATCTGAGTTTGCACAAAATTATTAAAAATGTTTAAAAAAAAAATTACTAAACCATTATGCTTCCGGAGTCCTGTGATATTTCCAATAAATTACAATTAATCTGTAGGGACAGAACAATATATTATAGGCTTGCTGTCTCCATCTGGCTTTCTACTACTATTTAGTTTATGAAATGAATTATGAACAAAAATGCTAAATAATTCTGAATAAAATGAAAATAACAACTCTGAAAAGATTTTCATAGAACAATTAAATCCTGAGCCTTGTTTTGGGATGTTATTAGAATATACAATCTGCTCCACAAGAAAATTTTACTCGTTTTTACTGCTAATATGCACGGCTATTACTGATAGGAAAAGTGCAACAAGCCACATGCAGATCTTGCTGTCTTGCAAAGGAATGGAACTGATGTTTTTTTCACTCGAGGCCATGTAAATTATCAATACATTTTCTCTCTTTTTGATCTACCAAACACCTTGAGCCTAACTAGTCATTTAACCAGCATCTCCATGTGGGATGCTTCCTTTCAAGTATAGGAATTCCACATGATTCCTTAATTGGCAAGTTGAGGGCTCCTCTGAAGGAGAAGGGAAAGAAAAACTATAACTGGTATCTATTTGAAGCTCAATAGAACATTACATACAATACTCCCATTTTCACCCTTTTCGTTAGATTCATTAACAAATTCCAGCATTCAGTCCAGGCAGAAAAGGCAGATATTTGATAATGCATAAAGAAACACATTAAGCTGATTAACAAGAACTAGAAAGAGACAGTGTGCATAAGTTACTCAAGAAAGATTCCTATCTATTTCTGAGGTGGGTATTGAAGATGCGATATGAAGATTGTTAGGTGCTATGACGTAGACCCCACCTGCAAATTGGCTCTACTTAGAATCATCTTTTCATGAATCTGGTGTTTTTGTCTTACTTTGTGTAACGAAATGAAGATGAATACAAACGCAGGAATGCAAGAGATCTGTCTCAGGTTGCCCTTTCTTAACTAGTTGTCCATTAACTAACAACTAATAATGATCTCTACCAGCTGTCATTGCTGCAATCTATGAAGACAAACCAAAAAGACAGATCAAAACAATGTTCAATCGGGAGAAAAAAAATGAATTCAATATGTCAAGGAAAATGTTCTGCTCTGAGTATCATTAACTTCCAAAACTAACTTCTCTAATGGATTATAAGACAATGAAATTGACATCCAGTATGGCATGTTTGATAATAATTCATTCTGGTAGCTCAATTTCCACTACAATTCACGATGAAAGGTTTCACGAAGTTAATAAACTCTGATGTCTTGATCCCTAGCTTCAAATCAACCTCCCCACCCCCCAAACCAGAAGAAATCAGGATTTAGTTCCACAATTGCTTCATCCAAAATCACCTGAGATCAAAGCCATACTTTAAAAATAAAAACACAACAATGACAAACAAGCTTGTAAAATTCAGGATTTTGCTGAGACAGGGAAAATTCTCTTCAACTTTGATTCCTTGGAATCACCAAAACAAAACAGCTTATCATTCTTCTAGTTCGTTAGAGGTGAATTGCCTAAGCAAGAAAAGAAAACTTTATCTATCCACTGAGCAGTAATTTCCTACATGGTCTCATCAAAACCTATACATCGGAAGGCACCATCAACAAATGCATGCTTCAACTTTCTCATACATATGAATACACAATAAGTCTTTGCTGTTGCTTAGCTGCCTTAGTTGCAGGCTGATTCTTCAACTTTTAGTGTCAGAACCTGTATTGTTACTATGGCAGGCTGGTCAAGTATTGATCTTCACTATCAATCAGTGGACCACCAAAACATAGTCAACTTTCCAAAACAAAAAAAAAAATCTAACTTTCACTAATAGGGCTCGAATTTTGAAAGTAGGATGTTCAGACAGTAGCACCAACCCAACAGCTGGCAGTGAGGTTGGGGAAATACAATTATAAACCACAATTTCAATGGTCCATGCATGGACAAAAAAGTGTATTATGTTTCTTCAGCAAAGTATGATAGGGTCTTGTGCACAAAACCAGCTACTTTGGTCACAAGCAAGATAGTAATAGCCTGTGCCTCCCCAGGCAAGGGAACCTAGGGGACCACACAAATGACACTGTCCATAAAACATGTACGAATTACACATCTATCTCTAAACCACATTTAAACTTGGAACCTTTTTTTGGGATAAAAAGTGTAAGTATAAACTTGAAACCATAAGAAGGTGCACAAGAGGTGGGAGTTCTTTTTTCTTTTTTGAGGAGCACGAACCTTGGTTCTGATAATCATCAAAGGATGAGGCCATATGAACAAAATGCAACAAATTCTAGATTATAAGCTAACATATTTTAAGAATAATGAAGTGCTAACCAAGACCCTTTCAAGAGCCACGTAAAATAGAATTTCATTAAAAAGATTTTCGAAGTAATGAAGTTAGGAAAGTAATTACCGGAATGTCTGTATTCATGCCTATGCATGTCACAGCATTGTGCTCATATCCAGTCAACTTTATTGATGTATCCTCAGGAGCAAGCCTCACTGCATAATGGACAATATTTGCTACTAATTTGTCAGTCAAAACAAGTGAAAAAGATCACCAGGAGCATTGGCCTAGTAGTTTTTTTCCTAGCTTCCTCATGGTGGGAAGCTCCAGTTCAAGCCAAGCTGACTACATTAAGTCCATTGTTTTAATACTAAAAAAATTGGACAAGACACAAGGATTGCATAAGAGCTATAAAGATTTTGAAACCTGAATAGTTACCAAATAAAGATAGTCAGTTATACTTTTTCCTACACCTGCGCACCTGTATTTACAATAATAATAATAATGTACAAAAATAGCCATAACGCAGTCAAACCTAAAGAACATGATTAACTCCAAAAGCAAGCTCATCAACAGTTGTTAACACCCTCTCTCAGGGTGGTCTACAGGAATGGATCATAATGAACAAAATATTTACACCACCAAGGTAAGAAATTATATATTTCGGTCTTGGCTGGTCATGGCATGGGTTATCAATGTTTAAGGAAAAACAACTTCAATGCTTAGTTGGAAGAGATGCTTAGGGGAGGATGATTCATCTAATTATGGATCATGTTGAATTTTCAGCTAGGGCCTGAGTAAGACTGTAATATTCAGATCCTTCTATAGAAATTCCAATGGTATCTTTCATGGAGTAGGTCACATTAACTGGAGCACATAAATCTTGGGTGTCTTATTTTTCATTATCACACAACAAATTTCGGATGGCTCAAAACATCCATCATGTCAAGGAGTAAAGAATGGAGCTCTTTCTTTTATGGAATGGAGCTGCTGTTAGGGTAGAAATAACCAGAAATATCGAGGAGAGTGACAAGAAAGAGACAAACGTGAGGCTGACAGAGGCAAGAAAGGAGACAAAAGCTCAAGTTAGATTTAATTAATTGGCTATCCGAGAAGTGCATGGTTCAGTTTAGATTGCTATTTAGCTTTTGGTGATCTGACATTCTTTGAGGACCACTCCGTTTCGTTAGGCCCTAAAGTTGGAGAATATATGTATCCCTTCAAAAAGGCCAGAATATCCAAAAGACACACACTTGACCTTACAATCACTAAAACTTCTGGGGGCTGACATCACTAATGAAACACGCACAATTAAGAAAAACCAAGTTGATGCAGATTAAGAAAATATTGTTTGACTAAAAAAATATTGTTTTGGAATAAATATTCAATTAGCGAAACTTTTCTGGTATTTATTATTATTTTGTTTTAATCTTATTTAAGTTACCAAGATTACTTGGGCATTATGGTATTTTAATTTTCTAGTTAAGTATATTTATTTAAAGTATGACAAGAATTAGAATCTTTTAAATTTTTCTTATAATTTCCTTACCAATTCTAATTAATGCCTACATAAAGGCCAGTAACTATTAACAATGTAAGATAGACAATGATGAAGTAAGACTTATACCCTATTATCACACTAAGCATTTGTTCTTCTAACTACTCTCTAACTTATCTCATTCTTCTACTTCTTGACACTTCTGCACTTTGATTTCCAAGTTCCTTTGGTCTATCTTTATTCTTTATTTCTTACTTAAAATTTCTCTTCTTTTTTCTAAACTATCTAAGAGACAAGTTAGTTCAACGACTACTTATTTTGCATCAGTTAGTATCAAAGTCTAATTACTCCCTCCACCATTCAACAAAAATTTATTACTTCAAAATAAAACCCACATCTTGACAAAAGAAAAGTTTTTCCTAAAAAAGTTTTTCCCCCAAAATAGCCACAACATAGGCTACAATCATCACCAACCACCAGTCACTCTTGGGAGCCGGTTTGCACCACCCTTGTTATTAGGGTCAGAGAACTCTGGCTGGCAACTCCTCATTTTTCAGCAGTCAATTTCATTGGAAGACATTATACAAGTTAGAATCACAGCCGCGATTTCATTGGAAATTGAAATGTATTGTCTTTAATTCTGCATGAAAGTTCACTTGAAGTTGAGTTTTCATTCTCTGACATGGAACCTGGAATCAACAGCGCAATTCAAAACTCCGCATATACATGAGCAATTAAAAACTTAAAACCCAAGTAAATTCTTCCTATTTGATTCACACTCAATAAGAGAGTGAAAACCAAGGTAAATGGAATGATAATTTGATAAGTGAAATCAATTAAAAAAGGATTAATAAAACTCTACAAGAACTTATCTTAATAAGTTGAATCAATTCCCACTTAACAAGAAGGTTAACAGAAACCTCACTACTTGAAAACTAAAATTTATAATTTTATTATTTTTAAAACTTAAATTATTACAAATAGGAATTGATGACCTATTTATAATATAAGTCATACGAATAATAAAAAATAATAATCTTTTAATTTAATGAAAAAATTAAATATAAAATAGAATTAGAAAACTAGCAAAATTAAAAAAATTACAACTGATGCAAACAAGTCTAAAAACACTCAAGATACTCAAAGAGTATCAAAAGGTGACTTGGAGCAAATTTCAAATGACGTAAATACAAATAGAGTTTCAAACCTAAAAAGTTTCAGCAGACCAGTAACAAGATCAAATGCAAAAAAGCTTAAAGAGTTGCTCCAAGTTTTCACTCAAAAACATGTGTATGATGGGCTGGCCAATTGTGGAAAGTTCAAAAATAACCTTTTTGAACAGCCTAAATTCGTAACTTTAATTGGGTTTAAATGATTTTGGATAATTTGGCCTTATTTGAGTCTTATTGGTAATGAGTGAATAAACCTTGTGTATGGACTGGATCAGTTGAGTTGTTTTAAGTATTTTGAATTGTTTTATTTTACTTTGAGTTAATTAAGTCCATATAATCAAATGTAACTCATTTGGCCTTAAGTCTTATCTTAGTGTTATTACAAGAATGAGCCCATAAGCATATGATGTCACAAACAATTAGCGGTGTTGGTTAAAAAAATTGAAGTTACAAGGAGTTACATAACAATTACATACCTATAATTAGTTTAGTTATTGTTGGAGTTACAATTGTAATTATCACATAATTAGCTTAATTATTGTGAGAGTTACAATTGTAGTTATTCTGTTGTAACTTATCATTGATTTCTTTGACTATAAATACCAAATGAACTCTTCTTTGTGAATATCAAGAGTTGTAATCAAATATTTCAGAATTGAGTTGATAGCGTTTTAATTTTCTTTTCACTTTATGCACAAGGTGTTGATTTGAAATACAATTGTTATCATTTGTATTTCAATTTTGATTTCCTATTTCAATTATTCTTGGCGCTTGTTTGGATTGGATTCAAGAGATATCATTTATCTTTCTTAGATTCTATTTAACTTCTACCATTTGGGTGATTGACCAAATTTGATTCCTTTTTACTTGTGATCTAAATTTTGTTCTAAACCGATTGAAGAGTTATAAGGTTTAAGTAAGGGTCTTGGGGTTCCGCATCATTTGGTATCAGAGCGTTGGTTCACCAAGTAAATTAGTCTATCTTTATTTTGTTGTCTTTATTTTCATTATTTTTTACAAAAAAAAGAGACAAATTTGCATTCAGCAAAAAATCAGATTAGCCTTATTTGCTTAATTGTGCAAAACACACTTTAAACAATTCTACCTTATGTAATTGAAACACTTGCTGTTATTTCTCCTTTTATTTATATCATAAAACATTCAAATACATTTAAAATTTAAAAGAAAAACTCGTTTCAAGATTGTTTGTTTGGTTGAAATTGTTTGTGTAATTTTTGGGACTGTTTGAAAACAACTCAACTAATCCAGCCCATACACAAGGCTTATTCACTCATTACCAATAAGACTCAAACAAGCCCAAATTATCCCAAATCATTTAAACCTAATTAAAATTACGAATTTGGGCTGTTTAAAAAATTCATATTTGAACTTTCCACAATTGGCTAGCCCATCATCCACATGTTTTTGAGTGAAAACTTGGAGTAACTTTTTAAGCTTTTTTGTCTTTGATCTTGTTACTGATCTGTTGAAACTTTCCAGATTTGGAACTCTACTTGGTTTACGTCATTTGAAAATTACTCCAAATCACATTTTGATGCTCTTTGAGTATCTTGAGTGTTTTTAGCCTTGTTTGCATCATTTTTTTTTTTTTTTTTTTAAAGTGACTTGGAGCAACCCTTAACTCTACTTGATTTGTTGCCTATTCCTATAAATGATATTTCTAATTTGGATGGACATAAGAAAGCAAAAATGGTTAAAACAATTCATGAAAAAGTAAGACAACATTGAAAAGAAAAATGAACAAGTAACATCCCATGTCAATAAAGGAAGGCGCAAGATTTCATTTGAATCCGGAGATTGGATGTTGGTTTATATGCGCAAGGAACGATTTCCATCAAAACGGAAATCTAAGTTGGATGCTCGTGGGGATGGTCCATTTCAAATCTAGCCAAAATCAATGAAAATGCCTACAAAGTAGACCTACCAAGTGAGTATAATGTTTCGGCTGCATTTAACATATATGATTTATCCCTTTTTGAAATTGATGCAGGAATTGATTCGAGAACGAATTCTTTTGAAGGGAGGGGGGATGATGCAAACAACACTAAAAACACTCAAGATACTCAAAGAGTATCAAAAAGTGACTTGAAGCAAATTTCAAATAACATAAACACAAATACAGTTCCAAATCTGTAAAGTTTCAGCAAACCAGTAACAAGATCAAAGGCAAAAAAGTTTAAACAGTTGCTTCAAGTTTTCACTCAAAAACATGTGGATGATGGGCTGACCAATTGTGGAAAGTTCAAATATGAACTTTTTGAACAGCCCAAATTCATAACTTTAATTGGGTTTAAATTATTTGAGATAATTTAGACTTGTTTGAGTCTTATTGATAATGGGTGAATAAACCTTGTGTATGGGCTAGATAAGTTGAGTTGTTTTAAGTATTTTGCATTATTTTATTTTAGTTTGAGTTAATTAAGTCCATATAGTCAAGTGTAACTCATTTACGCTTAAGTCTTGTCTTAGTGTTATTACAAGAATGAGCCCATAACTATATGGTGTCACAAACAATTAGTGGTGTTGGTTAAGAAAATTGGAGTTATAAGAAGTTACATAATAATTACATACCTATAATTAGCCTAATTATTGTTGAAGTTACAATTATAATTATCACATAATTAATCTAATTATTGTGGGAATTACAATTGTAGTTATTGTGCTGTAACTTATCATTGATTTTTTTGACTATAAATATCAAAAGAACTCTTCTTTGTGGACATCAAGAGTTGTAATCAAATGTTTCAAAATTGAGTTGAGAGTGTTTTGACTTTCTTTTCACTTTATCCACAAGATGTTGATTTGGAATATAATTGTTATCACTTGTATTTCAATTTTGATTTCCTATTTCAATTGTTCTTTATTCTTATTTGGATTGGGTTCCAGGGATATCGTTTATGTTTCTTAGTTTCTATTTAACTTCTACCATTCGGGTGATTGAACAAATTTGATTCATTTTTACTTGTAATCTAAATTATGTTCTACACCTATTGAAGAGTTCTAAGGTTCAAGTAAGGGTCTTGGGGTTCCACATCAACAACTAAAATATAATAGATATGTTCTTCCTTTATAGAAACCTTTTTAAATAAGAAAGATCTTAATTGGTTGTGGCTGATTTAGAGGAAAGAATTTAAATATGTTTTCTTTTTTCGCAAGATTTAACATTTAAGGAGTTTTCTTCTTTTCTCAAACAAGCTTGCGATTTAGGATCAATTTCCTTATTTGGCCGATTCTCCCTCTTAAGAAAAAAGAATTCCCAAGGGATTAGGAAAGAAAATCCCATGGGAGTTTTCCCTTTCCTTGCTCACATCACTCTTATAATAAAATTTACATTTTCTCACAGTTGAACTAAATATTGATTTCTAAATGAATTCTATAAAAGTAGTTTATTTGTTACAAATATAGCCTAAGTGTTTAAATCTAATTAAATTATTTGAGTCCTAAAAGTTATGGGTTGTTAGTTTTTATATGAGTAATTCCGCACTTTCCTTTTTGGTTTTAAAGTTTTAATAAGAGTAGATACTCTCTATATATGGAAAAGTCGGGCAATTATGAATTAGATTTATTGAGGGGAATCATTTATTCAGTTCCTGGATAACCCAGAAAAACCAGGCCATTTTTTCTCTCAAATATCTCTCTACTTCTGCTGCATCAGATATGCCACTGCTTGCTGAGAATATCTCATATGTAAAGTTTTCAATTTTTTTAAAGTACATGCTTTTATAATAAACTGCACAATAACAAATAAGATACAACAAAATACATAATGATCATGTAATTAATGTCCCGAAATTTTTTTAAAGAAATACAAAATTAGCCCCCCAAGAATGTCTTTTAACACAATATGGCGTTACCTACTACTGACATGTCCTCAATTGTTTTTAAGATATGCTGTTAATGCTTACTCAGAATTCCATGTTCGTCTGGCGATTCTTGGAAATAAATAAGGACTTGAAAGTGATCATGCAGACATCCAATTATACTTTTGAATTATTCTTGCTGAACTGTAAAAGGCACCTTCAATCATAGAAT